CCTGTATATTTCACTGTTTTCATTGGTTAACTAGAATTACTTGACAACTTTATAGATTCATTCATTAGTCAATAACTGATTAATTAATGAATTTGTCCTTAAATATGTAATTATTTACCTTTGACTGTTGCTGTCGTCCTTGAAGCGGCCCGACTCGGGTTCAGGTGCTTACTCGTGGGTGTTCTGATTGGGACCGGTCCGGGTTGTGGATTGTTCTCGATGCTGTGGAGGTTTTCACTTTGACACGACTCTGACCTTTAAACACATTTTTAAAAATGGCTCTGAATTAGTTTTATGAAATAAATCCAAACAAATTATTAATTATTTAAAGACTAAACATTCATTGACGTAAATGTACTTAATGAATTGTTAATTAAAGCACACATTTGATAACTGTTACTGTCTTTATTTCCGTCATCAAGCTGTTTCCAGTTGTTTTAATTTTTTTCTATTTTTTTAATTTCACAAAAATCTGTGTTATTATATTAATATGTAAAACCTGACACATCTGAATAAAAGAGGTTAACATAAATGAATCCTCCAGACCAACTGATTCACTCAGTCTGTACGTAGCTATACATACTGTAGATGAACTGTTGAATCAGTTGTTCAGAACTTAAATGTGTTCAGTATTTTAAGTTCCACTGACTCATTTTCTTTAGGTTGACTTTGTATCATTATAACAATGTTAGCATTATAATGCTGTATAGCATTTTATTTCAGTTTATTAATCATCATAAACCCAAATATGCACCAAAATCTTTCTTAATGAGCCCAAAGTGTAAAGATTTGATGTTTGTCACTTAAATAAAACCATTTAACTATTAACTATTGAATTATTTTAATTGTACGTCAGCTGTGTGACAGGTGATGTAATAATTTGCTTTAGTGGAAGAAAACTGAGTAAATTCAACTTGGTGACATTTGTATAAAATTTATTCAGATATTTATTTAATAGACACATTAATGCTGCATATGAGAGTAAATTCAGTTAACTGGTACAATTGACTTAATTTAACTTTCCTTAACAATAAATGAGTTACTTCTACTAAAATCTAATATGTTTTCATGCTTAAGCTGTTGGAGTTAATACATTGGAACAGTTTCCTCAAACAGTTTGAGTTGAACCAACTCAGGTTTTACAGTGTACCAGTACAAACTATGAGCAGTAGAAAGGTCCATTACAGAACCAGCCCCCGCCCTGTATGGGTCAGTACCTTCTGCTTTTGTGGAGAGGGAACACAGATATATAATCTATACATGTAAGTGTACTTTTTACAATAAATTCCATTGTTATCACGTCAGAAGCTTCAGCTATGATATTGTACAGTCTCACACAGTGAAATGTTTGTTTGTTTACAGCCGATAGATTATTATAATGTTAATAATAATGTCATTTCAGTTTCAGCCTCTCTGTTTCACACTGAGTGTGTATGTGGTTTTATTTGGTTCAATATGGAGATAATGTAAATGCTCTGTCTACTTATTATAGATTCTTATTATTATTACTAGTATTATTATTATTATTATTAGTGTATAATTATAATTATTATTATCATTATTATTACTATTATTTAGTTTATTATTATTATTAGTTTTTATTATTATTATTATCATTATTATTATTACTATTATTTAGTTTATTATTATTATTAGTTTTTTTATTATTATTATTATTATTATTATTAGTAGTAGTAGTAGTAGTAGTAGTATATTAGTAGTAGTAGTAGTAGTAGTAGTAGTAGTAGTTATTATTATTATTATTATTAGTAGTAGTAGTCTATTTATTGATTCCTGAAATATCTGAGTTTATCTCTCTCTCTCTCTCTCTCTCTCTCCCTCCCTCTCTCCCTCTCCCTCTCTCTTAATTCAATTTAATTCAAATGGCATATTGCCAAAGCAAGCGTTTGGAATTAAACATAATAATAATAACAATAAAGTAAAACAATATTTACAATAAATTAATTATAATCTATACTGTTGGTAATACTGTAACTATGATTGACTCAATCACAGTCACAATCAATCAATCTCAGTCAATAAGTAATTAATTAAATCAATCAATCAATCAGTTTGTGTTAAATAAAAATGTCATTAAAACAGTAGTAAAGTAACTACAGTTAAAACAAGTAATCTGTTGTCAATATAACAGTAATAACAAATTATTAAATATAATCTATATAATATTAAAATATATTAAAATTAAAATAAAATAGATAGATAAAACTGTTAACGTGTGTGTGTGTGTGTGTGTGTGTGTGTGTGTGTATGTATATATATAAACAACAACAACAACAACAAAAAACAAACAACTAAAACAATCAATTATTTTATACATTTATCTGAGTTTCCACTGGTCGTCCTCAGTTCGTGGCATGAGGAGACATATTTTGCTGCAATAATTTGACTTTTGGGCATTTCTCCCAGTAAATAGGGGAGTTTCTGTGTGTCTGATAATAATTCGAATTTGGGGAATATTTGGGAAATGTTTGCGAATTGTTTTTCTCTTAAAGTTTTGAATTTAGGGCATGAGGTTAGAAAGTGCAGCTCTGTCTCTACCTGTCCTCTGTCACACTGGGAGCAGAGTCTCTCCTCTTCTGGTAGCCAGTTCTGTCTGTGGCGACCCGTTTCTATGGCCAGGCTGTGTTCACTCAGTCTGTACATTGTCAACATTGTTCTTAGTTCAGGACATTTTATTGTGATCAGGTAATTTGCCAGTGTGAATCCTCTTTTTAGGGTCAGATAACATTGTAATTTACTTTGTGTTTTGGTCGATTCTTTCCAGTATTCAATATATTTTCTTTTTGCTTGTTGATAATTTGGTTTGGTCTGATTGAGTTGGTGTTGCTGTCCTGAGGCTGTTGGGGACATGTTACTGCAGAGAGCCTCAGGACCAGCTGGCTGAGGGGACTCTTCTCTGGTTTCAGCTCCTGGTATGTTAGGGCTTTGTGATGGTCCGTCTGGGGGTTAACTGATTTATCTTTTCTGTATTTTTAGTAGGAGGGGGTATTGGCCGAGTTCTGCTCTGCACAGATTATTTGGTGTTTTTCTCTGCACCTGCAGGATGCTCTTACAGAACTCGCTGTGGAAAGATTCTATGATTGTTTTGTCCCATTTGTCAAATTCATTATTTAGTTTTGGTCCACAAATTTCGCTGCTATATAGAATTATTGGTTCTAGTACAAATTGGAAAATGTTAAGCCAGATTTGGATTGGAATATAGATTTTAATGTTTCTCTTTATTGCATAGAAAGCTCTCCTTGCTTTGTCCCTCAGATCTTTCACAGCCATGTTGAGGTTTCCTGTGTATGTGAGAAGAATGCTGTTTGTTTGTTTCCAATCTTTACGGCACATTCACTTTTTGTATACATGTTCTTAATCAGATCATATGTTTTTCCTCCAATGCCACTTTCAAGTAGCCTATAGAAAAGGCCCTTGTGCCAGATGGAATCAAAGGCTTTTTTGAAGTCAACGAAACATGCATATACCTTTCTTTTCCTAATTTTTAATTCTTGATCAATTAAAGTCTGGAGGGTAAATATATGGTCCATTGTGCAGCAATTTGGCAAGAAACCAATTTGGCATTTATGCAGAATATTGTGGTCATCAAGAAAGTTGACAAGTCGTTTATTAATGATGTTGCAGAATATTTTTCCCAGGTTACTGGGACACATATTCCTCTGTAGTTATTTGGATCATATTTATTTCCGGATTTATGAATTGGGGTTATTAAACCTTTGTTCCAGATGTCTGGAAAAGCTCCAGTTGACAGAATAGTATTGAATAGTTGTATTATAGCCAATCTGATTTTATGGTCTGAGTATTTGATCATTTGGTTGAGGATTCCATCAATACCACAAGCCTTTTTTCCTTTCAGACTGGATGACTTCTGTTAATTCTTGTTCTGTTACTGGGTAATCTAGAGGGTTTTGGTTGTTTTTATCACCGCCTCCAGAGTTTTCCATTTTGTGAATATCTTGTACTGATCATCATTCTTTGTAATATTACTGTATAATTCACTAAAATGATTAATCCAAATATTTCTATCTTGGATCACCAATTCTTCCTGCTGGGTTTTGTTTAGGTTGTTCCATTTCTCCCAGAACTGGTTGGATTCGAGGGATTCCTCAATTTCACAGAGCTGGTTCTTGCTGTGTTGTTCTTTCTTTGTTTTTAGGGTGTACTTGTATTGTTTCACAGTGGCCTCATATTGACAGCGTATGTTGTGGTTATCTGGGTCTCTATGCTTTTCATTTGATAATTTCCTTAAAGTTTTCCTTAGGTTTTTGCATTCAGTGTCGAACCATTTGTTATTGTTCATTTGTTGAGATTTTGGTTTGGAGGCTTTCAAATTAGACAATAGAGCCAAATGATGAAAAATTGAATTGATTTTGTCCACAGCAGAATTTACACCAGAATTATTATGGGGAAATGTTTCAGTTAGAAATAAATGAGTTAAATCATATATGTTTTGACTTTCCAGTGCCTTTTGGTACGCCCCCATGCTGTCAGGGGTCCATCTGTATGAGTATGTGCTGTTAAACAGTTCACAGGCACTAGGGGCTCCAGAGTTAGACTGGGCCCTTTTCAGATAGACTCTGTCTGTCTCCCTCCCTCTCTCTCTCTGTCTGTCTGTCTCTCTCTCTCTCTCTCTGTGTCTCCCACTCTCTCTCTGTCTCCCACTCTCTCTCTGTCTCTCTCCCTCTCTGTCTGTCTCTCTCTGTCTCCCTCTCTCTCTCTGTCTGTCTCTCTCTCTCTCTCTCTCTCTCTGTCTCCCTCTCTCTGTCTCTCTCTCTCTGTCTCCCACTCTCTCTCTGTCTCTCTCCCTCTCTGTCTGTCTGTCTGTCTCCCAACCCCCCCCCCCTCTCTCCCTCTCTCTGTCTGTCTCCCCCCCCCTCCCTCTCCCTCTCTCTCTCTCTCTCTCTCTCTCTGTCTCCCACTCCCCCTCCCTCCCTCCCCTCCCTCCTGCTCCCCCTCCCTCCCTCTCCCTCTCTCTCTCTCTCTCTCTCTCTCTGTACCGGAGCGTCTCTCCGGTTGAACCGGATCATTTGAGGAGGAGCAGTTGATGATCTGATGTTTTTTCTGGATGAATCTCTCTGTCATGAACACCTCCTCCTCCTCCTCCTCCTCCTCCTCCTCCTCCTCTCCTCCTTCCTCCCCTCTCCCGGTCTCTCTGGAGGATTCTGGAGGATTCTTCCTGCTGAACGGCTCCGGTACCGGCTCCGGTAACGGCTCTGCGTCCTCCGCGGCTCTGATCTCGTCCATCTACTCGGTGGTGTGCGTGCTGGGTCTGAGCGGGAACTCCATGGTGATCTACGTGATCTTCCGGTACGCTAAGATGAAGACGGCGACCAACCTGTACCTGCTGAACCTCGCGGTGGCGGACGAGCTGCTGATGCTCAGCGTCCCGTTCGTGGTGACCGCCGCGCTGCTGCGCCGGTGGCCGTTCGGCGCGGCGCTGTGCCGCCTCGTGCTCAGCGTGGACGCCATCAACATGTTCACGAGCATCTACTGCCTGACGGTGCTCAGCGTGGACCGGTACATCGCCGTGGTGCACCCGCTGCGGGCGTCCCGGTACCGGCGGCCCACCGTGGCCAAGCTGGTCAACGTGTGCGTGTGGATGTTCTCCCTGCTGGTCATCCTTCCCATCATCCTCTTCTCCTCCACCGCGCCCAACTCGGACGGTTCGGTGGCCTGCAACATGCAGATGCCGGAACCGGAGCGGCGCTGGATGGCGGCGTTCGCGGTGTACGCCTTCCTGATGGGCTTCCTGTTCCCGGTTCTGGCCATCTGCCTGTGCTACGCGCTGATCCTGAGCCAGCTGCGGGTGGTGGCTCTGCGGGCCGGCTGGCAGCAGCGCCGCCGGTCGGAGAGGAAGATCACGGTGATGGTGACGGTGGTGGTGTCGGTGTTCGTGGTGTGCTGGATGCCCTTCCACGTGGTGCAGCTGGTGGGGGTCTTCCTGCAGCGCCACGACCCGACCCTCAGCCAGCTGGCGGTGGTCCTCGGGTACGCCAACAGCTGCGCCAACCCGCTGCTCTACGGGTTCCTGTCCGACAACTTCCGCCGCTCCTTCCAGAGGATCCTGTGTCTGCGCTGGATGGAGGCCCCCGAGGAGCCCCTGGACTACCTGGACTACTACAGCACGGCCCTGAAGAGCCGCAGACTCAGTGTGGACCAGCAGGAGGAGGACGGGGCCCGGGACCTGCCCCCTCCAGATCCGGCTCCAGGATGTAGTCTGAACCCAACCAGCAACCTCCGTGGTTGACCGACACTGACCACCAGGGGGCGCCACTGAGACTGCACACTGACCCCTCATGGCACCTCCAGGTCCAGACTCAGGTCCAGACTCAGGTCCAGGCTCAGGTCCAGGCTCGGGTCCAGGCTCAGGTCCAGACTCAGGTCCAGGCTCAGGTCCAGGCTCAGGTCCAGGCTCAGGTCCAGACTCAGGTCCAGGCTCGGGTCCAGGCTCAGGTCCAGGCTCAGGTCCAGACTCGGGTCCAGGCTCAGGTCCAGGCTCAGGGTCCAGGCTCAGGTCCAGACTCAGGTCCAGGCTCAGGGTCCGATCTACGGAGAGAGGGGTGTTATGGGTAACATTTTGGACGTTGAGTTCATTTTTGTTAGGCACATGAATGTGATGATGTCACTGATGATGTCACTGATGATGTCAGAAGGTGTGAGGGCTCTCCAGTGTCCAGCCAATCAGAGGCCGAGGGGGCGGGACTCCTGTGTTTAGAGATTGATTGATTGGCTGACAGTAAACTGTTGCTGTTAGCCTGTTAGCCTGTTAGCCTGTTTCTGCTGTAGCTCCGCCCCCTGCTCTGACTCATACAGGTGGATGTGGAACTTTGTTTTGGTGTTTTTGACCTTTGACCTCACTGAACGTTCCCAGCTGTGAAATAGAAAGAATCAGACGTTTTCCCAGAATGCAACTGTGTTCACACAGAAGACAGAATATGTTTCATAGATATTCATTTATTCATGAAGCTCTGTGATTGGCTGTGGGTGAAATGCACCCTGGGAGTGATCCAGTGTACTGATCAGTGGCAGACTGCCAGCTTGAGGATGAGGAAGAGGAAGAGGATGAGGAGGTGACCTGAATCAGTCAATGGATCAATGACATTGATTATAAAAGCTTTTCTCTGATCAAATGTGAGGATTTGTGTTCCATCTCATTAACTGATCTCCTGTCAGTCTGAAGGTCACCTCGCTGCTGATGAACAGGTGAGAGCTGCACAGGAAGTGCTTTTATTTTGTAGTTCTTACTGTTTGTGTCTGTTATCTTCATTCTGATCGATAAAGTTTTAAATCCACAACTTCAACCAGCTGATGGACCTCTCACCTTCAAAATAAAAGAAGCAGGGCCCTGGATCAACCTTTCATAATAAAGCGCAGGGGAAATCAATCAGTTTGATTACGAATTAACACACACACACACACACACACACACACAGGAAGCAGCAGATTTGGTTACCATGGTGATGATAACACACACACTGATAACTCGTCAATATGAATATATTTCATTCTTTATGTGAAATAATAAAATGTGATATCCTGTTGTCTTTCACAATAAAGCTCTGAAATATCTGTGACTAAAACAAATGTTTGATGAAGATGTGAGAGTTGATTGTAAACAGATACTGACTCAGTATCATCTGGAGCCCAACCCGTTGAGGCCCCACTGGACCTCTGGCACCAACAGCAGATCCATTAAGTCCTGTACGTTGAGAGGGGGGGCTCCATGGATCTGGATTGAGATCTGGGGAATTTGGAGGCAGAGTCAACACCTTGAACTTGTTCCTCAAACCGGTTCTGAACCGGTTCTACTTTGTCATTATCCTGCTGAAAGAGGCCGTCAGGGAGAACTGTTACTGTTTACGGTAAAATACATCAGACCGGGCCTCCTCCTTCCATTGCTCTGTGGTCCAGTTCTGATGATCACATTGTAGGTGGACAGTGGAGGGGGGTCAGTATGGACTCCCTGACTGGTCCCAGACCAGCAGACTGCTCTGCACTGTGTGTTCTGACCCCTTTCTATCAGAACCAGCATTAACTGTTTCAGCAGTTTGAGCTACAGTAGCTCGTCTGTTGGATCGGACCACACGGGCCAGCCTTCACTCCCCACCTGCATCAATGAGCATCGGCCCCCCATGACCCTGTCTCTGGTTCTGTTCCTTCCTTGGACCACTTTTGATAGGTACTGACCTCTGCAGACCGGGAACCCCCCACAAGAGCTGCAGGTTTGGAGATGTTCTGACCCAGTCGTCCATCACAATGTGGTTCTTGTCAAAGTGGATCAGATCCTCACGCTGCACATTTTTCCTGCTTCTAACACATCAACTCTGTTCACTGTCTACCTGATATACCCCCCCCCCACACTGACAGACTGTTACTGGCAGTGCTCACTTTGTTTGTGCTGATTGCTTTAGAGAAAGACTGATGACATGAGAGCTCTCTATCTCCCCCTGGTGGCTGACTGCAGTATAGACTCTCTCTCTCTCTGTCGCTTTCTCTCTCTCTCTCTCTCTCTCTCTCTCTCTGCGCTCTCTACCTCTCTCTCCCACCCACCTAGAGTCGGGGTCTGTCCCAGGTTTCTGCCTCTTAAAGGACGTTTTTTCATGGTGGTACTGTTGGGTCTCTGTAAATAATGTTATAAAGAGTTCGGTCTAGACCTGCTCTATTTGAAAAGTGTCCTGAGATAACTTCTGTTAGGAATTGGAGTCTTAAAATGCCAATAAAATAAGTTGATAAAAGTAATGTGGACGGACACTTGGTCATAACCACAGTGAGACAGTGAGGCTGCCTCAGAGAGAGACAAGTATTTCTTATGTATTTCTGTAGCTTGTGGCTCCCTCTGTTGGAATGAACTTGTGGTGCCGGTTGTGGGATAGTGATAAGAAGGACTCTACGTGGACTCTACCTGGGGCATGCGCTCTACCAGGTGAGCTACTGTGTGTCCCAAAAATAAAAAGTTTAGTTTTGTGAGTCTTTTACTCTCTGTCCTATCAGTCACACACCTCCAGGAGCCTCCAGGAGCTTCCAGGGGCCTCCAGGGGCCTCCAGGGGCCTCCATCAACAAACCACTGAGTGAACCTGAGAGAGAGATCTGATCTCTATTGATGACCTCGACCGGCAGGAAGTGTTAATATCCAATCAGCGCTCTGCTGCAGATGAACTCAGTAATCCAGTTTGTGTTTGTGTGTGAAGGAATTGGTCTGGTGTTGTAGAGTTACAGCTCAAACATAAGATGTAACATATTCAATCTTGGATCGACACTTTCTATAAAGTCTGGGACATTGACGCTGTTCCTCATTACAAGGGTTTCCTAAACCTCTTCCTGTAACTTTGTTTGTTTGCATATTTATTTGTTGGAATCTGTCGTTCTCTGAGCTGGAGGAAGGATTTAATGCATTATTCTCATTTTATCTTACTACGAGTTGTGTTGTGTATGAAACATCCTTTATTTATTTCAATAATAGTTATATTGTACATTTTATTTGTATATATTGTCTCTATTTTTATCTTTATTTATATTTGTCTTTGTTTATTCTAATGGACCAATTTAACTAGACAAATTTTTTGTATGTGAAAACCTGATTCTGAAAAAGAATGAAGATCATCACTTCACTGAAGTTGTTGTTATCGGTGGAACCAGCAGGGGGCAGCATCCACCTGAGGACTGAAACACAACAATGAGAGGAAACAGACGGCTGAGCAGGGACACACCAAGCATCACCAGAGTTTATCCTTCACTTTGATTCACTCACACTGTGACTCACAGTATTCTCCAAAACTACAAACTACACTACGACACAGACGAATGAACAAAGGGCCACAGACTGAGGGGACCAGGACTGGGGTCAGTTCCTGATATCTTTATTAACGTGAACCAGTGATGGATCACACTCACACATAAAGCATACATCAATATAAGCCTGATTCAGGCTGATGAAGGTACGGACAGATAACAACACATGGCCAAAATAACATACTGTCAATATCTTAGGGACCCTTTGTACAGGGCCCCCCTGTAGTTCACACTCTGTATACGGTTCATAAATATATATAAAGATGGAGACAGAATAAAGTAAATAAATAAAGTATACTGAAGCATTGTTACTTTCATCCATACAGAGCTTCACTTTGTACAAGTACAGTAAATATATTCATTCATAAACTGAATGCAGGTGGTTTGTGGGTAGTGTAGTCTGACCTCTGTCTGTGTGTGTGTGTGTGTGTGTGTGTGTGTGTGTGTGTGTGTGGGAGTGAGTTCAGGTGAGAGTCAGGGGTCAGCCTGAGGTCACAGGTCACATGGTCTGACCCTGATGTTCAGGTGAGACAAACATTTGACCTTCAGGTACCTGTTGTCTGCAGCACGACGACTGACAGCAGGGGTAGCTGGGAAAAATTCACTGTGTGTGTGTGTGTCTGTGTGTGTGTGTGTGTGTGTGTGTGTGTGTGTGTGTGTGTAGATTGTTGGACTGATAAAACAGAGTTGAAGAGTTCAGGGGAGAAACAAAGCCATCAACATGACTTTAATAACAGGCTGTAACACACACACTCACACTCACACACACACACACACACACACACACACACACACACACACACACACACACTCTGACTCTGTGTGTGTATTGATGTTAAACTACTTCCTGTTCTGATGATCCTGCAGTAACTGATGTTTACAGTTTACACAACTCTCTTATTAAAATCATAATAAACATAAATTCTATCAGAGGCATCAGTATGATCCACCGACTGGAGTCAACCAGCTGGACTCTGTGGTCCTCCATCGGTCTGTGGAGCTCTGAACCTCCAGTTGGGCTTTATGGTCGTCTCCATGTTGGTGGTTAGCAGCCAGCGGAGGTCACGAGTTGCTCTGCTCTCATTGGCTGCTCTTGGTTTGGAAACAATGGCGGCTCTCCTGCTCACACAGGATCTGGTATTCCAGATAAACAGTAAAATGTGTTTGTGAACAGATTTGAGGAGAGAAATAGTCAACAGCAGAATCTGGATCCATATCTGATCAGCACTGTTTGACAGTTTGATCTGAGTTTGGTTGAGCTGGACGGACTCACTGAGAATGAGCTGTCAATCACAAGGTAGCCCCGCCCTAAAGCATACCCTGCTTTATGGTCTGTTTTACTCTCAATGGGACCATCAGTTACTAAATGAACATCATGCTGTATGGAAGAAGACTGAAACTAGAGACTGAGACCAGAAACTCATCAGGAAACTGTTCAGACTGCATGTTGTCACTTTCTACTGCAGCCAATGGCGCTCCCCCTGCTGGCCTTTACATAGAACGCAGGGTTAAGACACCTCACAGACCCGGAAGCTCTGTCCGTTATTGATACTGTCCGTGGTGAGTATGAAGGTTTGTGCTCCTCATGTGATGCAGCTGATGAGGGTCACACTCTCTAATGCACCCAGACTGACCCGCTCTTCTCTGAACAAGTAAAGTAAAATTCAGTTCAGTCTGTCGGAGTCAGGTCCTTATGACCTCACATCCACTCTGCTGGAGTCTGTGAGTCTGTGTGAGGAGGTCATGGACAGGTGACAGGTGAGTCAGTCTCTGCAGTAACAGGATAATTATTACTGAGGAGCTTTTAGTGTGACAGGTGCAGGATTTACTGTCCTGTGAGTCACACAGAAACCCAGAACCTCCTCCTCTTCAGGGTCCTGAATCACAAACAGGAACCTTCATGATGTGAGCACAGTACTCTCAGTTAAAGGATTTCATGGGTTGGAAATTGGGTTGTTCAGACTCATCTAGTCCAGGTCTGTCTCCATGGTGTCTTCTAGGCCAGGAACTGGTCAAACTGGACCTATTTCACCAGAACAGGTCAAAGTGGGTTCATAATGAGAGAGACGTATTCAACAGGAACTGGAAGATTTAATCCAGGTCTAAGTGGTTTATAATACATACACATAGCCCAGGTGTTACTGGTCCAAAAATATGTACCAGGCCTCTTACCTTGGATCCAAAAGGTCCAGAATTCTGCAGCAAAGGTCTCAATCCAGGTCTAACTGCAGTCTCACACTCTGCAGTGATGTCCATAGTTAAAGTCTTAGTGGTCCAAAACTACACAGGGGTTCTTATCCTATGTCCAACTGGAGCTGAAATCTGAGAGACTGTTATTGCAGGTCCCGCTGGTTCAGAACATTCTACTGGGGCTCTTATCCCTGATCCAGAATATCCAGCTTTTGATTAGGACTTAACTGGTCTAGAGCTTTGGAGTTCAGAATACTATACCAGGGCCCTTATCCTGGGTCCTATTGGTCCAGAACTCAGAGTACAAAATATCAAGAACCTTTACTCCAGATCCAATTCAGGTTCAACTGTCTGTTCCCAGACTCTGTATCCAAGCTCTTATCTCGGGTTCCAGATGGCCAGAGTTCAGCAGAACACTTTTAGTTCAGGTCTAACTTTTCTGGATCTGTTGATAGTCTGCCAGAACTTCCTATAATTGATCTGAAAGTTTACACCAAAACCGAACCGAACCATGGTTGACTGAGATCATCTCTTTTTGTTGGACCAAGGTTCAGCTGTGTGGTTGGTGCCGTGGTCCGGAGGAGGGACCACGGCACTTTGGTCCTCGTCCCCGGGACCAAAGTATCAGAGGATTGTTGCAACAGGGACCTTTTCTCTTGTAACACATGAAGTCTCTGACCGCTGCACTGCTGCATATGCTAACCGTGCTAGCTGCTATTTGCTAGTTAGCGGTCCTATTAGCTGTCTGTACTCGGACTGGGAGCTGGAAAGACAGGGGGACCCAGCAGGGAATACTGCCAGGGAGCGGGGCCCGAATGAGCCACAGAACTGGAGCGGGGCCCGAATGAACCACAGAACTGGAGCGGGGCCCGAATGAACCACAGAACTGGAGCGGGGCGGACCAACGGAGGCCGGCTGATGTCCGGCAGCTCCAACCAGGACTCTGACTCTGGGCATGAACTGTTAACGTTATCCATCATCCATCATATCGATCAGCCAGGATCAGTTTCAGTGAAGTTGGAAGTTATTCATTCCGTGTGTTGAACAACCAGACTTGTGGTTTAATTTGCTGTTTTGCCTCTTGTTGTTGTTGTTGTTGTTGTTGTTGTTGTTTTAAACTTTACTTCAAATTTTAATAAAGCTGAAAGAGTATGAATGTTTGAATCTTAAAATGTTTTCATTTCTGAAATGATTTATTTTCTACTTTGTGTTGTGAGTTACAGATTTATTAGGAGCAGATATTTAACTCTAATTCTAATTATTGACTCTTCTGTTTTTATATTTCATTCAGTCGAATGTCAAAAACCCTCCAGGGACCTCAGACTGGAACCCTCTCTGATCTGGTGTCAGTTTATAAACATATAATAAACCACACACTCAGAAATATACATCTATAATGCTGTTTGTTGTTTTTATTGTCTCTGTGTTTACTTTCTGTTTTGGATAAATAAAGTTATTTTTATTTTATTTCATTTTAGGTCTGTCAACCTCCTCCTCCTCCTCTGCCTCCTCCTCCTCTTCCTCTTCCTCCTCCTCCTCCTCCTCCTCCTCCTCCTGCTCTTCCTCCTCTCAGTATTTTGGTGTAAGTGTCCTTTAATCCAGTGGCTCATCCAGTTAATCCAGTGTGATAATGGTGAGCAGTGATCAGTTGTTCTGCTCTGTTACTCGCTCATTAACAGCTTTAAAGCTGCAGACTGGAACCTGTCGACCAGAATAACAACCAGTAAACGCACCAGTCTGACCTGAGATCAGCACTTAGAATATATCTTTATATATATTATATTATATATATTATATATAATTCATCTGATTCAGGATAAACCTCTCCATTTATATTTTACAACATCTCAGGGTCATAAATCTCAATTTAATATGATATAATATAATATATGTAATGTAATATAATGTAATATAATATATAATGTAATGTAATATAATATATAATATAATGTAATATATGTAATGTAATATAATGTAATTTAATATATAATGTAATGTAATATATGTAATGTAATATAATGTAATATAATATATAATGTAATGTAATATAATATATAATATAATGTAATATATGTAATGTATAATATAGATATTTGTATGGATTATCTATTATAACTTCAGGTAGTTTTGTAGTTTTTAGTTTCACTGTTTGTAGTCCAATAATCAATCAGTTGATTATTATTGATTACACTCTTCAAACTGAGTGAATAAACTGAATATCAAAGGGTCCAAGCTTCACTTACTAAGAGCTTTCTGCAGCTCCCGTGGTCTTCATCATCAGAGCTTCCTCAGTCCTGGAAAGGCCAGTAAGGTGACCTTGAGCCAAGATCTGATTTTACTCTGAGAGCCTCAGTTAAGGTGGAAATTCAGAAATGTTTGAGCACTTTTAAGGATTTTTAGACAACCTTAAAACCTGCAGATGATCAATTAAAACCATTTATTTATTATTAGCCTCTAATTGATCCACTAATCAACTCCAGCTGAGGTCATTGTGAGGTTTAATTCACGGGACAGGAAATATAAAGATTTAATATGTTTCAGTCCGACAGTAAAAAGCTTCAAACGGATCCATTAATACTGATTCATGAACTCCTTAACAGCATTCATCATTATTAAATATAAATATTAAGGACATTAAATAAAATTATTATGGACATTTAATATAATTATTACGGACATTTAATATAGTTATTAAGGACATTAAATATAAATATTAAGGACATTCAGTATATATAAAATAAGTGAAGAGATGTTCAGGAAAAGCTGGTTCCAGAGCTTCATCATATTTCCATTATTGTTATTAATTGATTAATTAATAACAGTGTGTGTGTGTGTGTGTGTGTGTGTGTGTGTGTGTGTGTGTGTGTGGAGGAGAAGATGACACCAGGAGGAGGGTTGGACCTGCAGCAGCAGGAGGAGGAGGAGGAGGACGAGGAGGAGGAGGTGATGGTGACCTGCGGACTGATGTGATCCTCCTCCTCCTCCTCCTCCTCCTCCTCCTCCTCACTAACACTCTGCCTCTCTCCGCTCCTCCTGGCTCGGCACGGCACGGCACGCTTTCACCTGGACCAGGACGGACTCAGACACACAGCCCGGGGACAGGAGCAGGAGAACAGCAGAGGGACCTGCAGGATCCGTGTTCCGGCTGCGGGCTCCCGTCATGCTGGGCACGGTGAAGATGGAAGGGCACGAAGCTCCGGACTGGAGCGGATACTACAGCGAGGAGGTCGGTCACTCTCTGCCCGCTGCAGCGCGCCTTTTACCGCCACTGAGAGGGTCTCACACCCGGGTCAGACCCGCCCGGACCAGGTCCTCTTAGATCCGAATTAGAAGGAAAATTCAGTAAAAGTTGAGATCAGTTGTTGTTTGAATGGAAGAAAAAACTTTATTGGTATTTATTTAATATTATTATTATAATTATTATTTCCATCAAAGTGTAAAAGTGCAGATTCCATCAGAGAGAGAAAACCGGAATATTAACGTTTATTATTGAATCAATCATTTGATTAAATGTTTATAGAGCTGAAGGTCTGCGCAGATTCATCTTCACAACTTTATTATTATCATTATTATGAAGTTTATTATTCTGAAGTTTATTATGAAGTTTATTATTCTGAAGTTTATTATTATGAAGTGTATTCATCTTTATTATTATTATGAAGTTTATTATTCTTTATTATTATTATGAAGTGTATTCATCTTTATTATTATTATGAAGTGAATTAAAATAATTTAAGAATCAATAAAGTGCATTAATAATATTAATCTGATTACATTCAATAATTCAGAGTTTAGATCATTTTAATATCAAACAAAGAAATAAAATTCAATCAAATAATCCGATGAATGAAATGTTTGAGCCGCAGTTGAACTTAAATTGAGTCTTTTTTAAAGGGAGTTCTGAATGGAGGATTTCTACGGAACCAAAAAATCCCTCAATTTATTGATCAGCTGGGTTTTAACTTCCAGCGCTGTGAACATTAGATAACATTATTGACAAATAATCAGCTGATAATCAGATGATAATCACAGAGTTATGAGCTGGTAATAATCCGGATTATCGGACAAAGCGGCCGCTGAAGCGCGAGGAGCTTTAATTATTATAAAGATCTTTATAAATGATACAACTGTGTATTAATGATTAATTGTTGTGTTGATGTCGTTATAGATCTTATTGTTATATTAGTGTAGTTTATAGTTGGACACAATCTGTTCCGCAGGTTGTTGATATTAAAGAATCTGATTTATTAATAATTATTATTATTTAATATGATTCTGTTGTTCTGCAGCAGGGAATCATGCATATATAAAGATTATATTATTTAGGAGGAGATATTAGACGTTATTGATGATTGTTTGATTATTGATTAAAGAGAAAAGGAAGCTGCAGCAGGGCGCGCGGATCAAATCTGATTTAAAGCTGCAAAACAATAAAATATAGATTCAAATCTCATAAATTATATATAATATATATATATAATGTATATATTATATAGATATTATATAGATTGAATTATATAAAGAATGTTTTATTACAAAAATACAACGACAGTCGGTCTGTCTGTCTGTCTGTCTGTCTGTGGCTTCAGTCCGTTTCATTAATTAGAGATGACATACAATAAAAAATATAAAATATAAAACATAAAACATAAAACATAATATATAAAATATAAAAATAAAATATAAAATATAAAATATAAAATATAAAACATAAAACATAAAATATAAAATATAAAACATAAAATATAAAATATAAAATATAAAACATAAAACATAATATATAAAATATGAAACATAAAATATAAAATATAAAACATAAAATATAAAATATAAAACATAAAACATAAAATATAAAATATCAATAAGTTGTGAAATATTGAGAATCAGACCTATACAGAGGTTAAAGGTCAGCTGCTGTCTTACGTTTAGATGATCAGTAATTCTGAACTGATTTATTAATTTGAGCCATTAATTAAAACACTTGATATTTATTGATTATTTTATCCATTAATGGTGATTAGTGATGGAAGTTAATGGATTCATTCACTGATAGTAAATTATTAATGGATTCAGTTGGAAATGAAAAGATCAATGTTTGTGTCTGTCTGTCTGCTGATCAATAAAGACAAAATAAATGTGTATAACATTAATTAATATCTTAGATAATCTTCATTAGAGTTATTAGAAGATTAATTAAGGAGGTAATCCCATCATTACATCTTAAATGATGTCACTGACGCCTTAAAATCTGCCTAATTAGTTAATGAAGAGCTTTTCAAATTAAAAGGTTTTCTTTTCAAATTAATGGATCTGTGTTTATTATTCGGCTGAATTGAAGATTAATTAACAATATATTATTCAATAATAATAAATTGACAAATGCAAACATGTTAAAGGTAAAGTTTAAAGCTGTCACAGTATGTACTCCAATATTGATCCAATATTGATCCAACATTGATCTGAATTCATCATCAGCGTAAGCTCTGGTGGAAAGTGTTCAATAAATCAGAAATAATAAATCAATCAATAAATAAATACTTTTAGGTTGATAACTCACTGTTAGTGTGTCAGTGCTGGTAGTCCGGATCAGTCTGGACCAGATCAGAAACCAGGTCAGAGGTCAAACCTGGAGGCCAGAATCAAAAACATAAAAAATAAACAAACAAAAAGCTGAAAACAAACAAAACAAAAGTTAAATGAAAAACATTGAAGAAACATTTGAAAAACATTGAAGAGATTTAAACTGAAACAAGATTTTAGTTTCAAGTTTCTGAACTGGGTCCTGGTTTTAGGTCTAACTGGGTCTCCTCACACTGCCTTTGGTCTGGACTAAAATCTGGTCTCAATGGTTTGAGTGTAACAAGCTCCAGAACCAGGACCAGTAAGACCAGACTAATTGGTACTGGTCCAACTGGTTCTAGTCTCTCTGCAAGTCTGGGGATTGGTTCAGATCTAACTGGTTCTGGTCTAACAGTCTCTGGTCTCTCTGCAGATGTACTCTCCGATGGCAGGCAGTGGAATGGGTTCTGGTCTTGGGATGGGCTCCATGTCGGGCTACATGTCCAGCAGCGGGACCACGTCAGGCTCCTTCAATATGTCATACAGTGGGACTGGTCTGAGCCCTGCTCCAGTGGGGGGGATGGGCGGCTCGGCTCCAGCAGCCATGTCGGGTTTGGGAGGGGGCGTGGCTTCGATGGGCGGGGCTTTGAGCCCATCAAGTATGGGCTCGGTGTCGGCCCAGCAGGCCTCGATGGGTCTGAACCCGTATGGGGGCATGAGTCCCACCATGAGCCCTGGCATGACGTATGGCGGCGGAGGGCTGAACCGCGGCCGCGACAACAAGGCGTTCAGACGGAGCTACCCGCACGCCAAACCCCCCTACTCCTACATCTCACTCATCACCATGGCGATCCAGCAGGCACCCAGCAAGATGCTGACCCTGAGCGAGATCTACCAGTGGATCATGGATCTGTTCCCATACTACCGGCAGAACCAGCAGCGGTGGCAGAACTCCATCCGGCACTCGCTGTCCTTCAACGACTGCTTCGTCAAGGTGTCGCGTTCACCGGACAAACCGGGGAAGGGCTCATACTGGACCCTACACCCGGACTCAGGGAACATGTTCGAGAATGGCTGCTACCTGCGGCGCCAGAAGAGGTTCAAGTGCGAGAAGAAGATGTCGCCAAAATCGGACGGCAGGAAGGAGCAGGGAGGAGGAGGAGCTTCTCCTTCTGGGGATTCCATCAAACCTCCAGGACTCCTGGACTCCTCCTCCATGCCCTCCTCCAGCCAGGCTGCCTCGCCTCCCGGTATGGACCTGCGGGGAGGTGTTGGCGGGGCATCAGACCTGAAGGTGTCCGGCTCACAGCTCCTGTCCTCCCTGTCATTGCCCCCCCACTCCATGGCGCACGAGTCCCAGCTGCACCTGAAAGGAGACCCCCACTACTCCTTCAACCACCCATTCTCCATTAATAACTTAATGTCGTCTTCAGAGCAGCAGCACAAACTGGACCTGAAGGCCTACGAAGCGCTGCAGTACTCCTCCTACAGTGCTGGGGGGGTGTCTGGCCTCGGGGGGAGGACCATGGAGCCTCTGGAGGCCTCCTACTACCAGGGGGTGTACCCCAGACCGCTCCTCAACACCTCGTAGTACCCGCTGCACTTCCTGTTTGGACTCTCTGCATGCAGCCGTCCTGGACTTCCTGTCTGACTGTGATGATGCTGAACCGGATCGACTCTGCTGCTGCTGGTTTCTGAACTCCTGCACTGTGACCAAACCGGGACACAAAGAGACACGTTAACACTCGGCTGTTAAAACCGATCCCAGGTCTGTGTTCTCCTCTTACACACTGAGTCACAAACAGTAAAAGTCCGTAATTGCTGCAGAAATCGGAGGCTCCAGAGGGGGCGCTTTAAAATACAAAATGGCTGGCTTTGGGCTATTTCTTACACCTGTTGGCAAGTAGTCACATGATCAGTGTAGACAGTCACATCACACAGAGCTTGTTCAGCAGAGGAAACCACACATCAAAAATCAACTCCACAATGTCAGGACAATGCAGAGAACTACCGTAAAACTCCTTTAATAGCCTGGTGTCTCAATTAGAGGCCTGGTCTGGATTGTGTGCCTCTTAAAAATCCACGTCACCACTGTAAGATGGCAGCGGCCGCATCAGGAATATTTAGACCTCAGTTTTGTAGAGTGGGAGCAACGTCTAACTTAATCGATGGTTTACATAGTTTGATGGTAGAAATACCATCTTTGCTGAATGAAAGGCCTGTTCCAAATAAAGGCAGGTTGAGGTCAGTGATTAAAACAAATAAAAGTGGGTTGTTAATTGAAGTTTTACAGTTTGTACTAAAACATCTTAACACCTCCTTATATTTCACTATCCTGTACATCCAGGCCAGAAGGCCACCAACCCACCAACAGGAAACTGGCTCTGTTCCGGTTCAAGAACATAGTTTTTGAGAGCATTTCGACCAAAAATAAATTGGTTCAGAACCAGGACAGTCGATCCCAGCAGGTTCCCTTGGGAACCAAACTCGGCGTGTCCTATTCTACAGGCTGGTCTACCTCCATTCACTGATGTTGTATTTCTCATTAAATTGTGAAACAGATGACTTATCAAAAAGACGCAGTTCAATGGCGTCTTAGTTTTATTGATGACACATGATTGGTTTGCCGTGAATTTCAGGATGATTCTAAATGTTTGAAATGAAGCAGTGTTTTTTCAGTTACAAGGTTGATCTGTTCTGGCTGGTCAGGAGGTGCTGGGCTTAGAAAATATTTCAAATGGGTACATTAATGAAAAAAGTTTAAAAACCACTTCTCTAGATAGCACGAGGTTCAAGAACTACAGCTAATTTGGTGGAAAAGGGGGAACAGAGTCACAAACAAAGATTTCAGACTTAATGACAACAGGATCAGTCAGACCAGAGTCCAGGGATGGTTTGCACCAGCTGGTCTTTACTAATCCTGGTCCTAACTGCTAAAACCGAGAGTTTATGTTGATTGCACCAACCAAACTTAAGCCTAATCTTAGCTACGTGCGTCCGTGTGAATGCCTGCTCCACCGTGGCTGTTGCCAAGCAGTGTGCATTGCTAGGATACAGTCTCCCGCTGTCCTGATAATTTGTAGCTAATCATCTTTAATTTGCGGCAACGTTATGTAGGATCAAAGAAAAGGAAAAGGCGATTTCACACATTTCAACAAATAGAGCTGTACGGCAACAGTGCGATGTAGAGAAATAACTGAGGTCATCAATGATTGCTCAGCCTTCGTTAGGAAACCATGTTCAGAAAAAGACATTGATGAACTGGTTGGATGTGACGCCTAGTCTCATCCAGATGGCGGCTGAAGCGTTGACGGTGCAACCGGTGTAACTTTTAGGTTGGGTGTCGAACGCCAAGTTAGGAGCTTAAGACCAGTTGGTGCAACCGGCCTGTCAGCCCTATGTCAGAGGTTCCCACGCTGCCGTCGCTAGAGTTAAAGAGGTTTCCAGTGCGAGAGATACAGGATCCTTTTCAGGCCTCGAATCGACTCGTCCAATAAGGACGCCATTCCAGAGACAGAGCTTCAACCCCCCCTCGTCACTCCCTGAATTTTGTTTGAGAGTACTAAAACTTAGAGGCCCCTGAGGGGCCCAAAGGGACCAATTCACATTTCTGTCTGTTTAAGTGACAGAGGGGTAAAACATCGATTAACAGAATGTTTAATGTCTCAAATATTATCGACCAAGTCTGTTTCCTATAGGCCTCTAACTCCAACTACCATCATGCATTGCACACTTAACTTTAAAGGTTTAAAATATTAAGTTTGTAAAGGAAATTCGGATGGTTTGAACGATATGCAGTTCGTTGGTTCTGCCTCCATCCGTCAGTCAGTCTGTTGCTGTGAGCAACATTAATGGTGTCAGGGCCCGAGGAATAGGACCTGAGGAACAGATTAATTATTATAATTCCTGTATTTTGATCAGAAATATGAGGAAAGGTTTATTTCTCCCACGACCCGGCCTGCGTCTCCGCTGACCTCCGGAGGGGTCATGACCCTCAGAGTGAGAGCCCCCCCCCCCACACACAGATCAAAGGGTTTTATTTAAAGGCTCAGTCCGCCTCGTCTGTCTCCGTCTGATCTCTGCTGAAAGAATCTGTTGATCACGTCTTTTTATTGATTATTGATCATAAACATCTGTTTACAATATCAGTGTGAAAACGTTTGACTACTTATACTTCATTACTTTATTTCACTTATTGAGATAAATTCACTTGTTTCACGACAAACATTATTATTATTATTATTATTATTATTAATAATAATAATAATAATAATAATAATAATAACAGGAAGACTTTGTTCCATCAGATGATGAGAAGGAAACTGTTGTTGTTATTTATGGACAGTAAATATATAATTTATATTCTATAACAATAAACTGGATGACGGCGTTCAGACGCTGATTATTGGACCACGTTGTAGGTTTCAGTTGGTGTCAGATAATAATAATAATAATAATAATAATAATAATAATAATAATAATTAAACATAACATTTCTGAAAACTTAAACAATAAAATAGATAATAGTGTTACTGTGAGTATCAATACCAGTGATCAATACCAGTGATCAATATTCACCATCAGTACTACACCCTGCTGGGGAAACATAATGATTATTATCTTCACGATCAATGAATATGTTTATTGAATTATTGATCAATAAAAAGGAGACTGTGCCTGCAGACCAACCTTCCTATAATAATCAATAAATAATACAACATTTATTAACAAACAGTTTGAATCAATATGATTGATCCCCAATAATCACATTTACTCCATTCATTGATTAATAATTGATCAGTTTGATGTAATAAAGGATCTTTGTTTGGTGACTCTCACTCTGTGTGTAAAAGGAGAACCCACTTCCTGTCTGTGTATTTAAACTGTCCATCACTGATTATTGATTATTGATTATTATTATTACCATGTGCATGAATGAAGTGGGAGGTTGTCTTCTTCTTCTTCTCTTTTCTGGAAAAAAGTGGCTGTTTTATGACCTCCTCCTCTTCCTCTTCCTCTTCCTCTTCCTCTTCCTCCTCTTCTTCTTCCTCTTCCTCCTCTTCCTCCTCCTCTTCCTCTTCTTCCTCCTCCTCCTCCTCTTCCTCCTCCTCTTCCTCCTCCTCTTCCTACTCGTTGTGTGTTTGTTTCTCGTGAGCTTTCGACTCTGCTGCATGTTCTTCTTCATGTTCTTAACTTATTCTGTCATTTTCAAATAAAACGAGGAAACATTTATTGATTTGTTGTTAATTTCTGATTATTGATCGTTTTACTGATAACAGCATTTTACTGTTTTTCTTCATCGTTATTGATCGATCGAGCTTCTGGACTCATCAGTACATTTATTTGGGGGTTTCACTGAAAGGTTATTGATAAAGAGTTACTGCTGATACGTGATCAATAAAAGGCTTTAGGGGAATATTATTATTATTGATAATCGATCAGTAATAAGTTGTTAATTATAAAGAGTTCAAAGACAAATCAGACAATAAAAACAATCAATTATAAATCAATCAATTAATGTTGTCTCTTCAGCAGCTCAATGAAAGTAAAAAAACTCGTAAATGGTTCAGATCCAGATCGTAAACCCTGTTTCTGATCTGTTTATTTGTTATTATTATTATTATTATTATTATTATTGTTGTTGTCGTCTGTGCCGGCCTGATGAGGATGTTTGCGGTGTCGTGTGGATCTGATGGGTCCTGGTTCTGGTTCTGGTCTCACACATTCATCAATAAAACATTCAAACTATTTTATTTACACTTTATTTTTTATTGACACTTTATTTTTATTTTGGATGAAATTTTTACAGAAAATCAGAATCATCTTCATTTTGATGTTTTGTTTGTGAGAGGTTTGTTGTTGTTGTTGTTGTTGTTGTTGTTGTTCCGTTTTGTCTGAATTTGTTTTAGTTTTCTTTCTGGTTGTTTATTTATTGTTTTCTTCCTGTCTCTGGTCCCGCCTGTCTGTCTCTCTCGCTGTCTCTCTCCCTCGGCTCTCCCTCCTCCGACATGCTGCTCAACAAGCCGAACACGGTGAACCTCCTGCGGCCTCAAAGCGCCTCAAAGCGCCGCCGCTGTCGCCGGATTTGGAGGCTCTTTGTGGGCTGTAACCTCCGCCGCCGCTCCGTGAACCTGAACACATCCCGACAGATTTCACTTTGATCTGAAGCTTTTTCTCACATTTTGGCCTCAGAGCCGCGAAATGTCTCTAATGATCCTGTAATTAGCCGCTAATTACCCGCCAACATGATCCCCGAAGCGGCCGCACGAAGCCGCAAAGACACGGAGCCGAGAGGAGCCGACACTTCTTATAATATAATATAACGTAGGCCTATATAATATAATATAATATAATATAATGTAATATAATAATATAATGTATTATAATATAACATACTATAATATAATAATATAATATAATATAATATATAATGTAACATAATATGCGACAATAAAAGCTTTTATTCAAACATAAAATAAAATAATTTCAGATGAAACTTTTATAAAAACCTTTGTGTTTTATTCGTTTTGCTCAAAAACAAAAACAAAAACAAAAAACAAATTCAAAAACGAAAATATATGAAATATATTCAAAATATTAAATATATTGAATATTATTGAATATTATTGAACTGACCTTTTCTTCAATACATTAAGTTTTTATTTTAGGAATATCTGGTGATGCGTTCAGGTTCTAAAAGAGGTCGGTAAATTATTTCACTGTTTTTTCAGCTGAATTGAATTCGTTTTGAAGAATTTGACTGAATTCATTTCTGGGTAATTGATTAAGAGACAGATGAAACAAATCGTTAATTATTGGGCCTGAAGAGTGACTTTATTTCCTGTTTGAACACAACGTTTGTAGGTTTCCTCTCCGGATAAACGGAGCATTTAAACTGATCAAAGTGAATATTTAAAGCAGAACAAAGAGTTTTTATTTCAGTGTGATGCGTTCACTGACATTTGACAGCAATAAATAAGGTGCTACTGCAGTGTAATATGTGTAATATGTGTAATATGTGTAATATGACATTTGGTTTGTGGATCAGCTGCTTATTGCCGTTTTACTGACGCTGACCTTCATGATTTAACCAAACACAGAGAGGCTTTTATTGTGGAGGGTCACAGCTGTCAGGCCTTTCATCACTGAAGAAAAAAATAAAATAAAAAATAAAATAAACTGACTTCAGTTCAGTTTGTAGATTAAAAACACTTTCAGATGATTTCAGATTTTTTATCAAAATGAAACAAAAAGTGAAAGTTTCTGTAAATAAACACACACACACACACACACACACACACACACACACACACACTGTCTCACCTGTTACTGCTGCAGTGAAAAGCTCTTATCTCCAGACTGCAGACGGAGCAGGACTCTACAAACACTCGGGTCACGAGTCCACGTCGCCCCTGAACCAAATCTTCTTAACCTAATATTTACTCTTTACAAGATATAAAATGAGTGTCAACAAGACAACAACTGCACAAAACAACACAACCAAAATCACATCTGTAAACATCAGCAACAAGATCACAATTAGAATTATTACAAAGTAATAAGTGATGCTAACAAAGGACATTGTGGACACTGAAGAAGGAAACAACGAGCTTGAACACAAACTGTAAAAGAATAAACAACCTCTCAGAGTAAACAACGAGCACCAACAGAGAGCTGGGATCAATACAATGTAAACAGAAGTAATAATGAGTGTGAACTATGACCCTGTGTGAGGACCATAACCATCATTAGCTCGGAGAACAACAGCTAATATTTCATAAACAAACAAAGATCAGTTCCACACAGTCCCACAGCGAGGACAATGTGAGGAAGATCATACACTGCACACAAAGAACTAATCAATAATCAATAAATACACAAAGGAGATAAGATCGTAAACATGATGATACAATCTGTAAACAAAGATCATTACCTGGAACAACAAACACGACTAATTAATGACAACAAAATTAGCATTTATGCCAACAGGATACAGACTGCACACAGATATAAGATATTAATATCAAATATAAAATATAATTATAAGATATTAATATCAAATATCAAATATAATTATAAGATATTAATATCAAATATCAAATATAATTATAAGATATTAATATCAAATATCAAATATAATTATAAGATATTAATATCAAATATCAAAAAATAAATATAAAATATAATTATAAGATATAAGATATTAAATATAATTATAAGATATAAGATATTAAATATAATTATAAGATATAAGATATTAAATATAAGATATAAGATATTAAATATAATTATAAGATATTAATATCAAATATCAAAAAATAAATATAAAATATAATTATAAGATATAAGATATTAAATATAATTATAAGATATAAGATATTAAATATAAGATATAAGATATTAAATATAATTATAAGATATAAGATATTAAATATAAGATATAAGATATTAAATATAATTATAAGATATAAGATATTAAATATAATTATAAGATATAAGATATTAAATATAAGATATAAGATATTAAATATAATTATAAGATATAAGATATTAAATATAATTATAAGATATAAGATATTAAATATAAGATATAAGATATTAAATATAATTATAAGATATAAGATATTAAATATAATTATAAGATATAAGATATTAAATATAAGATATAAGATATTAAATATAATTATAAGATATAAGATATTAAATATAAGATATAAAATATAATTATAAGATATGTGATATTCAATATTAAATATAAGATATAAAATATGAGATTAGATTTAACTTTATTGTCATTGCACAAGTAAAGGAACAATAAAATGCAGTCAGCATCTAACCAGAAGATCAGAGCAGTAAAGTGCATATGTAGAAAAATATGTAAAACAATAATAACATTATAGATACATATGATATAAAATATAAGATATAAAATACATTTATAAGATATACGATATAAGATATATGATATAATCTCATTAAATTAAATTGGAGATAACGACCTGTGAGAACAAGAAATAAATGTGAATAAGATAATAATGAACTCTATCTTATTTTATATATTATATCATATATAATATAATATCTTATATCTTATGATATAATTATATTATATATGTGATATAATATAATTATATCACATATTCTATATCTTATATTATATTTAATATGTGATATAATTATATCTTATATATGATATAATTATATAGTATAACACTATAGAAGTAGAATGTGTACAAACACAGAGAGAAGATAAAGAACAGATCAGAGAACAGTTCTCCGTCAGAAAGTTGCTCTAATAAATCCACATTATTATTTTACAGTGAAAGACCGTAAACTGTAAAACGGTTCAATAAAGTATCTGTCAATATAATCTTTATTGATCCAGAATAAAATCAGATTGATATTACAGACTGTAAACTACTGTCCACGGAATAAAAGAGTTAATATATTGATATATTTCCAGTGTTTACAGATAAACATTATCATAATGTTTATTTCCTCAATTCATTCATTAATCATCAATCTGAATATTGATTATTGATTTCACTGATAAGTGAGAGTTCATACTTAGCTGAATATTATTAATCTCTCTCTCTCTCTCTCTCTGTGTTGGACTCATATTTATTGTTGTTGTTTGTATTGTTTTTCTATTAATCAGCAGTTGTTTTGATATTTGTTTCTCAGAAAACAACAACCACAATCTGTTTGTGTTTTTACTCTTTTCTAATGTTTTATTTCATCTTGAAGAGTTTTAATCTCCCGCCATCAGTCCGGCATTCATACAAACAACAACAACAACAACAAGAGGGAGAGATATAATTCTATTCATTGTTTCTGACACTGTGGACTTCCACTCAGCACTGTTTGACATTGTTCACATTGTGCTGAGTTGATGAAATATTCATCAATAATAATAATAATAATAATAATAATAATAGTAAGTACATTTAGCTGATAATACTTTCAGAAGTTTTTTTACAGTGTGCTGTTTGTACTGTTACTTCACTAAAGTATCTGAGTACTTCCTCCAGGAACCGCCAAATTAAGAGAAGCCAAAACAAACAAACAAACAAACAAACAAACAAACAAAAACACAAACAAACAAAAACTCTGCAGCTTGGTGCAGGAAGCCGGAGCTCTGAGCTGATCGTGTGATAAACCTGGACTCTAACCGGTGCCACTGCCACCCAGTCTGCTGTAATACGAGCCATATGTTCCCGGCGGGGCGGAGCGGGGCCCCGGGGCCCTCCGGCGGCGGCAGCGGCCCCCGAGCCCCGCTATCATTTGAGTAAAGCCCTCGGCCCCTTTTCTCTCCGCTCGCGCCTTATGGAGGAAAATGTCGTCCACAATACGGCGGCCCTCGGCCCCTTTCTTCCTCTCGCCTTTCATTCAGGAGCCGGGGCCCCGGGGCCACTAAGGCCTTTTGATGGGGATTGGAATTAATTATCTCCAATAACACAATTGTGCTCGAGCAACGAAAAGAGCAAATAAATCCCCTCCAGAATGAGAGAGAGAGGAGGAGAAGAAAGGAGGAGAGAGAGGAGGACGATCAAAGGGGAGAGAGAGAGTCGGGTGAGAGACACTGAGGGAGAGACAGAGAGAGACAGAGAGAGAGACAGAGACAGAGAGAGATAGAGAGAGAGAGACAGAGAGAGAGATAGAGAGAGAGGGACGGAGAGACAGAGAGAGAGATAGAGAGAGAGGGACGGAGAGATAGAGAGACAGAGAGAGGGACAGAGAGAGAGAGAGAGCG